TGGTAGTGCTATATATTATTGCGCACAGTTGCAAGAATTAAGTAACGAAGAGGTGAACTCAGATCTCAGTGGGCTAGCCGTTATAACTACTTACGAACTACTATTTATTTTATTGTTAGGGTTACAATCATCACTGCAAGTTCATCGCCACACAAGGTTTGAGTCTACTTATGTTCTTACCCACAGTTTTGGCAGCAATGAGACAGCCTATTGGTGTCGTGGCAATTTCCCACTCGAGCCCTATCAATAATGCTGAACATTTGCTCTCAATATTTACTTGATCTGTTGGAAATTGCTTTCGATTTTAAGATACTATTAATTATTAAAGTCGTTTACCAAGCCAAATATAAGCTGGACGCTCAAGAAATAATCCCCTATCCAGTCTTTTTAGTTTTAAAAAAATTTTGGTCGTCAGAGACAAACGCATGTCCTGGAGGCATCAACGAGGTCTTTATTTGTTCTTTTACCTGAGATTTGACCAAAACCTAACCTTTGACAACAGTGCTTTATCATAGTACCACATATTGCGGTACAAGTCACGTGTTATGCCTACATTTCAGGTCCTGTCGCTCACACATTTGGAGACTTCTGGCGAACAGTCTGGGACCAAGGTGTTTGTGTTATTGTCATGGTTACAAACATTGTGGAGGGAGGACGGGTAGGTCAAACCATATTTACACCTATATCATTTTGGTGATACTCTAGGTCATAGGGTAGAAAGAACCAATCAAAATCCAGGTAGAGTTTTATATCAAGAATATTTATGTCTTTAGATCAAGTGTCTGAAGTATTGGCCGAGCGCCTGTCCCGAGATGTACGGGCCTGTCTTGGTCTCTCCGGGTGATGAAGAAGAACTTGCCGACTATGTGGTTAGAAAGTTTTCTATTCAAATGGTAAGGATTATTTGCACTTACGTTACTTTCTTCAGCGACTAGAGTCGCTACCGGTGCTGTTTAATCAATCACGTGGTCAATCAGGGAGGTTGTGGGTGAGCAGGTCAGTCACTGACTCAGAGAGTTAGTCAGTGGATACGTCAGACAGTCAGATAGTCAGTGAGTCACTAAGTCCGTCAATGGTTCAGTCAGTGAGTCCGTAAGTCCGTCTATGGTTCAGTCAGTGAGTCAATCACTGAAGAGGTCAGCCAGACAGCTAGTCGGTGAGTCAGTGAGTCAGTTAGCCAGACAATAAGTGAGTTATTGAGTCTGTCAGACAGCTTCGAGTCAGTCAGTCAGTCAGTCAGTCAGTCAGTTAGTCAGTGATGAGTCAGTCAGTCAGCGGTGAGTCAGCCAGTCAGTTAGCCAGATAATAAGTTGGTGACTGAGTCAGTCACCGTTGAGTCAATCAGCCAGCTGTGAGTGAGTGAGCGAGTGAGTAAGTGAGTGAGTAAGTCAGGCCAGATCAGTCAGTCAGTCTGTCAGTGATTCAATAGTTTCTTTTGACAGGTTACGTCTAAGATCTGTGAGCTCGTCTGAAAACATACCAACATTCCAAATTCCAATTCGATCTGGAAACAGTGGACAAGAAGAGCCACTCAGTGGAATGTCCATTGCTAAATTATTATTTATTATTTTTATTATAAATATAATATAAATAATTTGACAGGGAAACTGCGTGTTGACCAAGGTGCATATTTGCTAACGCTGACTTTCCTTGTTACCTATCCCAGACGTCAGACACAGCCGAGTATCGCGCCCGTGAGGTGATACAATTCCACTTCACAGCTTGGCCTGATCAAGGGGTTCCTACTCATGCAACCTCCTTGCTTGCTTTCCTGAAGAAGGTCCGTGCTTCTGTGCCTGAGGATTCTGGGCCCATTTTGACCCACTGCAGGTAATAGGCCATTGAAAATCATTTTTCACAGCTGTCGTACGGTATGCTCTAACGACAGCCTAGAAAGTGAGTCGAAAAAATTGAGTTTTACTTTAGCCTTTTTCCTCTTGTTTTATATTTTGTATTGTACGTTTTTGTATCGTTCCTCTTCGAAGGGCCACTATGGTTGTGTTAAATGACAGCTATTGACCTGTTCTAATCATTTTGCAGTGCTGGTGTAGGACGCACTGGGGCGTACATTGTACTTGACGCCATGTTGGACCAAATTGATGCTGAAGGGGTAGTAGACATCTATGGTTTTGTCTGTCATATCCGTCAACAGAGGAGCTCCATGGTGCAGACAGAGGCATGGCATATGATTGTGTTTACATTGTGTGTATTAATTAGTTAAGGAAGTGTAGCCCTGAAGAAACCATGGATTGTTTATCTCAACAATTAAAAAGTTAAAAAAAAAATACTTCCACCTCCTACCAACCCTCCTCCCCCAAGCTGTAAATGGTGACTGGTTCCCTGAGATGGACTTATGATATAATAGTTTCTTAGATGTGGACAATTGCTTAATTTTTTTTTTTTTATCTTTCTTCAACAGGCCCAGTACGTATTCATCCATGACGCTCTTATGGAGTATGTCACATGTGGAAGCACAGAATTTGCTGTGCGTGACCTGCCAGAGAGGTTGCGTGTCCTGAACACCATAGATCCAGACAGTGGAGATTCTCTTCTAGTGGCGCAATTCAAGGTATTAGTCTTCTTAAAACTTAGATTTTGTGAAGTTTTGAGGGAGTTTTCCTCCCGATCTGGCAGAAAACGTGACTCCTTTGCTTGCTCGCGTGATGCATTGAGTTGTGAGGTATTCTTACAAAGTACTAGACTTCTCAAAAGTGACTTTTCTTAAGGTGTTAGGGTTTCGCCATCTGGGAGAAAACACAGCACCTTCAGTTCATAATGTTTGGTTCAGCAGTAATGCCCTAGGTAGAAGGTTGAGTCTTGATGAGCCCTGGTCATTTTCAAAACTTTTACTTGCTTAAATTAAAAGGGATGATTGATTTCGCAAAAAAATAAATAGAATCATGCGAAAGCAGCCCAACGGTCTAAATAGTCTTTTTCGAATATATATAGAGGATATTACGTGGCCGCGTGGGGATACGAATTTTATCTTCTAATGCTGAAAGTATCTCTCACGAATGAGCTGCGCTCACTCGTGAGAGATACTTTCAGCACGAGAAGATAAAATTCGTATCCCCAAGCGGCCATGTAATGTTCTGTTTATTATATAGATACTGATGAAATCTCCACACAAAAGACAACTTTTTTTATTCATTTTCGAAACAGCAATTGGGTAATTATGTTGGTAACCATGGCCACACCAATATCCTCACACGTGAAAGATAAAAATAGTATCTTCACTGCGCGCGGTGAAGATATGATTTTTTAGTAAAAGGAGAAATCCTGGTATTTCATCAGTATCTATATAATAAAAGTTATTATGCGCGAGGGCCGTACTGGGAGAATATCGGCCCGAGGTCTTGACAGTACGGACCGAGCGCAGCGAGGTCCGTACAAAAAAGACCGAGGGCCGATATTCTTCCAGTACGGTCCCGAGCAAGCTCGGTTAATAAGAGATTTATTATACGACAGAAGTTCAAAGGGACACAAGTGCGGTATCATTCGGGACCATTCGGGACAGTGCCCGGTCCAGTACTTAGAGAATATTGGACCGGCAATAGAGCATTTTGATTGGTTGAATTAAGTTATTGGCCCTCTGACTGCCCGAGTCGTGTAATAAATAGCCATACTGAGCAAACAAAAGCGAAGGAGCTGAAAGCATTTTTATTCCTTTTCCTGGTTTGTGTCGTTTTGTAGGAGCTTTGTAAAAAAGAGTCATTGTTTTGTTTAGGAAAGGTATGTTATTTACCATCATAATGTACTCACATGATTGATGTTGTTTTGCAGAACCTTGGCCTCGGTGACTCAGATTACGACTCGTTCATCAGCGCCTCTCAACCTGAGAATAAAACCAAGAACAGATTTGCTATTCTCCCATGTAAGTTGGAAGTTATTAATATGGAGTTTTTTTTTATTTTCCGGTGATAAGCATTGGGAGAAGCACTCGGCCGGGTGGTTTTATTAGAGGCATCGGTTGGAATTCCGTCGATGCCTGAAATTTTTCGGATTTTTTCTTTTTTTTCGCAATTGCTCAGTAAATCTCAACTATCCTGCGAGAATCGTTTCTTTTCTTCATTTTTCTGTCGAAGGTCCAGTACAATTTCTTTCCCTAAAAGTTGATAATAAAATGGTAAGATTGCTTCAAATGTTATATACATTACCGTTCTATGGTTTTATTTTCTTTGTAGTTGATCGGTCAAGAGTAAAACTGTGGCCTTTCACGGGTATGGTGGGGTCCGATTACATTAACGCAAGTTTTGTAGACGTGAGTACACTATTATTCAAATAACAGAGAGATTCAGCATCGCGTTTACGTGAACCGTGAATGGTAAGAGTGACCACGTGACTTTTTTCCCGCCATTTTTTCATGTTTGCCGGTTGCGCTTTACTGTTTCCACATGAAAGTATCCTGTTCGCGTTTGCCACGCACGTAAGATTTTCATCGCTTTTTCTCTCACAGAGTAGCGTTTAATTGCTGGAAAAAGGGCTCTAAAACTACTCTTTGTAAGTCACACATGGGCGCCTTCAAATCCGCCATGAAGTGAGCTCACGCGAAGCTAAAGCAGCAAGGCTCACGCTATTTTACGCGAAACGTGAGAGGGCGAGCTGACGTTTGCGGTTTCTCGTAAACGTGGCATTAAATCTCTCTAATAATTGTTAATAATTACGTCGAGAGCATAGGATCGCAAGTAGTTTAACATTTTACACCCTAATATTAGTATTGGTATTTTCCATACTGTTTTTCCAACACATTTCTTAAGGTGCTGGCAAGGAGAATTTGTTTAACAATCAAGAGCTTCTTTAGTTGTGTGATCATTTCCGTTATTTTCATGACCTTATTGTTGAATTCATGGGGAGATAGTGGGAAGAAATTAGATGCTAGTCACCGAAAGAGGTCAAGAGGTAAAATTAATCGAGGCAGGGTTATGTTTTATCTACCTTAAATGTGTTCCATCAAAGGCAAAAGACAAAATAAAGAAGAAGATTTGGATAATGAGATGAAAGTAAAGAAGTGATCAGATTCAGAGTCTGGTACGAAACCGAATTCTCTTAACTGTTTTAAAAGGCAATACATAGGAAATAGAAAGGGGAACTCATCGTTTAACCTAGGGAGTCAGATAGTTCAGGGTTTTCTGTTGCTTTCAGTTTTAGATTTGTATAGTTAATGCCATTATCCGAATACGCTTGAACTTTTTTTGCAATTTTGTGTTGTTTTCATTTCACACCGCTTCACCTGCTATATTTTTTACTATCTGTTTTAGAGTTTCCAACAACGCGAGGCATTTATTGCCACCCAGGCCCCGTTGGATACCACGGTTGTGGATTTCTGGCGAATGACCTGGGAATATGAAGCTTATTGCATTGTGATGTTGTGCACACAGAGCGAAAGAGAAGAGGTTTGGAAGTCTGACATTTGATTGAATTCAATATTTTACCTTACGTTCCTAAATTTTTATGCAAATTTGAAGCTAGAAGTGATCAATTTTATTCGGAAAGCCGTTGTCCTGCCGTAGAATTAACCAAGTTTGCAATATYTCCTCGTGACTAAATGGGAGACGTTATGACGCTGGACTCCGAGTGGAGAGGTCTGGGCACGAGACCTGGCCTGACCAATGTGTTGCGTTCTCGGACAAGACACTTTACCCACAGTGCCTCTCTCCACCGAGGAGTAGA